GAACATCCCTAAATATGACAGAAAAGGCACCTTATTGGATTTTTTTGGTAAACATTTTTGTTGAAGTATAACTTACATATAGTGAAGTGCATAAATATTAAGTATACCAAACTTGATGGATTTCAACAATTACTTATCCGCTTGGAACCAACACCCCAAGTCAAGAATAGAGCTGTAAATCACTGTGGTGTCTGCAGGGGTTAAAAAAAAAGAATGCCACTACACTATGGGTGTAGTGGCATTTACCTGTACTCTCAGCTACTTGGGAGGCTGAGGCTGGAGGATTGCTTGAAACCAGGAGTTTGAGGCTGCAGTGAGCTATGAACGTGCCACTGCATTCCAGCCTAGGTGATAGAGTGAGATCTGGTCTTTAAAAGAACAAAACTAGGCCAGGTGCAGTGGCTCACGCCTGTAATCCCAGCACTTTCGGAGGCCAAGGTGGGCGGATCACGAGGTCAAGAGATCGAGACCGTCCCGGTCAACATGGTGAAACCCCGTCTCTACTAATAATACAAAAAATTAGCTGGGCATGGTGGCATGTGTGTGTGATCCCAGCTACTCAGGAGGCTGAGGCAGGAGAATTGCCTGAACCCAGGAGGCGGAGGTTGCGGTGAGCCGAGATCGCGCCATTGCACTCCAGCCTGGGTAACAAGAGCGAAACTCCGTCTCAAAAACAAAAACAAAACCAAAAAACCCCCCCCAAAAAACAAAACTAAACAATAACAAAAAAAAACCAGAAAACATTTCCAGAATGCTAAAAGCTTCTTCTTTATCTTCTCCCAGTCAACCAGTCAATACTCCCTGAGAAAGGTAAACTCTGTGGCCTTCTTTTGAACTGTACATCAATGGAATCAGTACAGTAGTGACTCTTGTACGTCTGGCTTCTTCTGCTCAACACGGTGTCTGGACGTTCATCATGTTGTTTCATGTAAAGGGCATTCATTCTCTTTTTCGTATATAAAAATGTCATAGTAGAATATTCTGATGTATGAACATAACCACAAATTATCCATTCTACTGCTCATGGATATTTGAGTTTTTCCAGTTTTGTTTTTTTTTTTTGACACAGAGTCTCACTCTGTTGCCAGGTTGGCGTGCAGTGGTGCAATCTTGGCTCACTGAAACTTCCACTTCCCGGGTTCCAGCAATTCTCCTGCCTCAGCCTCCTGAGTAGCCGGGATTACAGGCACACATGTACCACCATGCCCAGCTAATTTTTGCACTTTGAGTAGAGACAGTTTTCACTATGTTGGCCAGGATGGTCTCAAACTCCTGACCTTGTGATCCATCCGCCTCTGCCTTCCAAAGTGCTGAGATTACAGGGGGAGACTTTCCCAGTTTTTGACTATTACCAATGGGGTTGCTATAAACATTTTAGTATATGCTTTTTGGCATACATATGCACTCATTTCTGTTGGGTATATACATATGAGAAGAATTGCTGGATAATAGAGTATGCATCTTTTTCACTGGTGGGCACCAGTTTTCCAAAGTGGCTGAATCAATTTCTATTCCCACCAGCAATGTATGAGAATTGTTATGATCAGCTTTTTAAGTTAGACACTCCAGCAAGTGGATATTGGTATCTCAGAGTAGTCTTAATGTGTACTTCTCTGATGACTAATAATATTGAATTCTTTTTTTTAATATGCTTATTGAGCATTTGAATATACTCTTTGGTAAAATGATTATACAAGTCTTTTGTTCATTTTCCCCGTTGGCAGTCTTTTTCATAGTGATTTGTAGGAGTTCTTTGTATATTTTGGATCTGAGTCCTTTGTTGGATAAACACACACAGACATACACACACACACACACACACATACATGCACACACGTATAAAGTAAATATTTATATTACTATATATTACATAAATAAATTATATATATAATAAATATTTTCTCTCAATAGTGTATATCCTCTATGTTCTTCTTCCTTCTCAAGATTGTTGGCTGGGCGCGGTGGCTTACACCTATAATCCCAGCACTTTGGAAGGCCGAGGCGGGTGGATCACAAGGTCAAGAGATCGAGACCATCCTGGTCAACAAGGTGAAACCCTGTCTCTACTGAAAATACAAAAATTATCTGGGCATGGTGGTGCGTGCCTGTAATCCCAGCTACTCAGGAGGCTGAGGCAGGAGAATTGCTTGAACCCAGGAGGCGGAGGTTGCGGTGAGCCGAGATCGCGCCATTGCACTCCAGCCTGGGTAACAAGAGCGAAACTCTGTCTCAAAAAAAATCAAGATTGTCTTTGCTATTCTTTATCCTTTGTAATTTTCATATAAATTCTACTGAGCTTTTTACTTCTACCAAAAGAAAAAAAATAGGATTTTGAGTGACATTGCATTGAACCTAAAGAATAATTTGAAAAGAATTGACATTGTTACAATATTGTGTCTTCCAAATTATAAATGTTATCTATCCTTCAATTTACTTAGGTCTTTAAAATTTTAATTTAATTTAGTTTTGATTTTTTTTTTGAGACGTGGTCCCCCAGGCTGGAGTGCAGTGGCACGATCCCGGCTCACTGCCACCTCTGCCTCCTGGGTAACAGAAAAACCTGTTGATCAAGCAGAGTAAGTCTGAGTACTTATTTTAGTACTTACATTTAAAGCAAGTGGGTAGGGCATAAGTTATATTAGCCTTACTGCAGAAAGGAAGAACACTACCTCAGTAGAGAATTAGTAGTATGTGAGAAAGATATTTCAAGGAAGGATATTTATAGGATCTGGGGGTCTGGGCTCAAATGGTTTAAGATGGTCTTACAAAGAAAGAAACGGATGGGAATTTGGCACAATTTCTTTTGAGACAGAGTCTCATTCTGTCACCCAGGCACACTGCAACCTCCGCCTCCCAGGCTCGAGTGACCTGGCCTCGTGACCCACCCTCCTCAGCCTCCCAAAGTGCTGGGATTACAGGTGTGAGCCACCCTGCCTGGCTGAGCACAGCTGATAACGTTTAGGAGATTTAGGATTAGTAGATACAGAGAAGTAAAGGTCTTCACGCAAGCCTTGATAAATGAACTGTAATATAAGTGAGCTTTTTGCCTAATTGAGCAGTCTATTGTCCTAACAGGAGAGTTCTTTGGCCAGATGAGCAAACTATTTTCCCCAATATGTTAATTTCTTGAAGCAAACAATAAATGTATTTGTTGGTTTACCACCTTATCTTCCTGGGCAAAAATTTCCTAGAAGACTTGTATCATGTTGATCCAAGTGGTCTTAGTCCTCGTTAAACAAGACCAGCTTCTTAGCCTGAAATCCCCTGTCTCATAAAAGTGGAGAACTGTTTTTGCTGTCTGTTGTTTTTATACTGTGAGTTTACTGTGGGTAGGGCATAAATCTTACACTCCTGGATGTGGGGTTTATTTTTACATATTTGTAGCCAAATGTATAATAATTAGTATTTATAATATTTGCTTTCATTTTCTGGTTTTTAAAAAACTTAATAGTGCATCACAATCATTTTCCCATTATATATTATACAATCTTTGTAAAAACTATTTTGATGGTTCTATTGAGATTGTTGAGATTATATCATTAGCTAGATTCCAAGAAATTGAATCACTAAGACAAAAGGTATAAATCTTTCTAGGACTTTCATAAATATTATCAATTGTTTTCCTAAGTAATTTTCCAATTTCCATACCTTCCAGCCAAATATGAGAAGTCCTATTTTACCAAACTCTCCATAACACTGGATGTTAATATTTTCAAAAATACTTGCTAATTTGCTAGTGCTGCTGCTATCTTATTGTTATATGGATTTATATTTGTTTGATTCTTAAAAATGCTCAGATTAGCCGGGCGCAGTGGCTCAAGCCTGTAATCCCAGCACATTGGGAGGCTGAGGTGGGTGGATCACGAGGTCAAGAGATCGAGACCATCCTGGTCAACATGGTAAAACCCCGTCTGTACTAAAAATACAAAAAAAATTAGCTGGGCACGGTGGCGCGTGCCTGTAATCCCAGCTACTCAGGAGGCTGAGGCAGGAGAATTGCCTGAACCCAGGAGGCAGAGGTTGCGGTGAGCCAAGATCACGCCGTTGCACTCCAGCCTGGGTAACAAGAGCGAAACTCAGTCTCAATCAATCAATCAATAAATAAAAATGCTCAGATTATTTTCATACACTTGTTTGCCAGTTCTATAAATTCTTAAATTATTTGCTGTATTTTTAAAAATTGTACTTAGGTCATCAGGTGTATAAAATTAATTAATCATACTTCTCAGTTCATAGTTTATTGTCCTCACAGGTTAGTACAATTACTCTCTTGAAAATGTTCTTTTTCACCCTTCTTCTCTGATTCCTACCATACACACCCATTATTATTATTATTATTATTATTGTCGTTATTATTTTGAGGTAGAGTCTTGCTTTGTCTTCCAGGCTGGAGTTCAGTGGCGTGATCATGGCTCACTGCAACCTCCACCTCCCAGGTTCAAGCAAATTCTCCTGCCTCAGCTTCCCAAGTAGCTGGAATTACAGGCGCTCACCACTATGACTGGCTAATTCTTTTGTATTTTTAGTAGAGTCAGGGTTTCACCATGTTGGCCAGGGTGGTCTCGAACTTCCAACCTCAAATAATTCATCTGCCTGAGCCTCCCAAAGTGCTGGGATTATAGGTGTGCACCACTGCTTCCGGTACATACATACCCATTCTAAAGCATTTGTTATACATACTTAAATATGCACATATCCTTAGAAAACATGTTATATTACATGTGTATATGTCATTTAATAATTAGAATCGAGTTATAAATCTCATTGTTTCCCCACTTTTGCACTTAACCCTATGTTTTGAGGCCTATCAATGGTGTTTTATGCATATCTATTCCATCACTTCTTTCCCAAGCATTGTATTTCATAGTGTACTACATATTAGTTGCAGTAACACTAGTTGCTGTAATAAACAAACTCCAAAGCACATAACGCTAAACACAACTGAAGTTTATTTCTTGCTCTTAAAATCCAAAAAATAACTATTCCTCATTGGTATTCAGGTTTCCTCCACAGAGGTGATTTAGAAAACCCCGCTGCCTCTATCCTGTGGCTCTGCCTTCTTCAACATGGCTTCCAAGATGGTCACACCCACCTGCATTGCACTGGCAGAAGGTGAAAGGCATAAATATCTTGTGTGAGAGGTTTTCATGGGCCTGGAATAGCAACATCATTTCCATTCATATTCTTTGATTAGACCTCAGTCAAATGGCTGTGCCTAACTGCCATGAAGACTGGACAGTGTAGTCTATTTGTGTGTCTTGGAAGAAAAGGAGATAGATTTGGTGAGCTAACCCATCTTGCCAGAGTGAGCATCCATCATATGGTTCTCAATTTGTGATAATGGATACCTAGGTTGCCCTCACTTTCCCATCACTTTGATAAAGCCGTGTGGAAGGTCCTTGTACATTTCCTCCTAAAAACCTCTGTGAGTTCTCTGTGATAAACACTAACGTTTGGTTTTACCTATCTATCTTTTGCCACTCTGACGTCCAAGTTTAAAAAGTGGTATCTTGTGATTGCATTCCTCTGATTACTAATAGATTTGAGCATCTCTTCTATTTTGGGCTTCTGCTTCTGTGAATAGCTTATTGTTTTTCTATGCTGTTCTTTTGCAGGGTTTCCTGTGGCGTTTTCTTTCTTACTGATCTGCATCAGTTTTTATATAACCTAGAAGATAATCACTCTTTTGTTTTAGACACTATAAATAGTCTCTCTAAATCAGACAGCTGCTTTTAACTTGATCTGCATTAAACAGAAATCCTTAATAGTGACATAATCAAATCCTTCAAATTTTGGGCTTATTATATTTTCTTGGGGTTTTTTTTTTTTAGGTATTTTCCTATTTTAGGTCACATTTCCTGTATTTTCTTCTTTTATGTTACCATTTCTTTTGTTTACATTTCAAATACAGTATAAAACAAGGATTTGTTATTTCTCTGCATATAATAAACTAGTTTTCCTAAACTCATCTCTAAATAGTCTATCATTTTTCTCTGATTTCTGATTTATCATCCATCAATTTTTCTTGCACACATGGTTTTATTTCAGAGCTCTCTTGTTTGTCCATTAGTGTGTCTATTCCTGTGTCATTATAATACAGTTTTTGTTTCTATGGCTTTGCAGTATGTTTTATTACACACATGACAGGCTGGATTATGTCAAACTAACCCTACTGCTGAGAGCAACAATAAACATTGGGTGAGGGATGGGGGAAATTAACTAAAAAGCTTACAGAAGCTCATAGAGCAACCAAAAGCAGCTAAGACTTCAGAAGCCAAGATCTGGAGCTCATTAAGGAATCCTCATATTGACTTTCACTTTTCTTGAGGGGTATTCTCTAATTTCTGAAACTGGGAAGAGAGGTCGAGCAAAAACTGTTGAATGGCTGGGAAGAAAGGTGTTGGCATTTGAGGCTACCACAGCAATGGACATATTAAGGGTCAAGATCCCAAAGAGGAAGAAGCCATGGAGAAGAAAGCCTAAATTTGTGAGTTTTCCTGCAAGGCATTTGCCAGTTCCTAAATCACATCTGTGTGGGACATAGCTGAGAAACCAAGCAGAAATTAAGGCCAACCTAGAATTCTATAGCCATAGGAATAGCCTTCAGAAATGAAGGTGCAATAAAAATGTTTCAAATGAACAGAAACTTAAAGAAACTTCAGAAAAAGAAAAAAAAAAAAGAGTATCTGTGAATAATACACTCACAGTAAAATAAATACCAAAGGGAATCCTTCAGGCAGAAGAAAAATCATTGCAAATAGAATTCATGACACACTAATGAGAAGTGGAAATTTAATACAAAAGAAAAAAAAAGGAACAAAGAACAAATGAGATAAATAGTAGGATGATAGCTTTTAGCCAACTTTTATCAGTAATCACATTACATATAAATGGCTAAATAGTTCAATTAAAAGGCTAAGATTGTCTGGGCACCGTGGCTCAGGCCTATAATCCCAACACTTTGGGAGGGCAAAACAGGCGGATTGCTTGAGCCCAGGAGATCCAGACTAGCCTAGGCAACATGGTGAAACCCAATCTCTATAAAAAATACAAAAACTAGCCCAGCATAGTGGCACATGCCTGCAGTCCCAGCTACTCCAGAGACTGAGATGGGAGAATCACCTGAGCCCAGGAAGTTAAGGCTGCAGTGAGCCATGAGTGCACCACTGTACACCAGTTTGGGTGGTAGAATGACACCCTGTCTCAAAAAAAAAAAAAAAAAAAAAGCTGACTGCCACAATGGATTTTTTTTAAAGCAAAAATATTCTGCCTACAAAAGACATATTTTGAATTTGAAGACATGGAAAGTTTGAAAGTAAAAGAATGTCAAAGACAAATGCTTGAAGAAAACTAATGTAGCTTTACTAATATAAAACAAAGTAAACTTTAAAGGAATAAATATTAATAGAGATAAAGAGAAACACTTCTCATAATAAATAAATGGTTAATTTCAACAGGAAGAAGTAATCATAATTTCATATGAGATACGAACATAGCCTTAACATATATCATGTAAAAGTAGACAGATGTAATTAAGGAATAGACAAATCCACAATCACATTTGAAAATTTTAACATTATCAGTAACTGGTAGTATAAGCACACACACAAAAAAGGATATGAAATATTTGAGTAATGGAGTTAAATTGACTTGACAAAATTAAAACACTACACTCAACAAGAAGAGAAAGCACATTCTTCTCAAGTACACATTGAACATTTCCTCCAGATAAATCACATGCTGAGACATACTCAAACTTCAATAAATATCAAAGGAATGAAATTCTACAGATTGTGTTCTTTGACTGTGGAACTAAGCCAAACATCTATCATATGTAGATAATCATATGACCCCCAACCACTTTGAAATTTGGTAGGACATCTAAATAACTTATGAATAAAAAAATGACATGAGAATTAGAAAATATTTTTAACTGAATAATAATAAAAACACAACATACCAAAACTTGCAGGATCATTACAACTAAAGGTTCTCAAATGCAAATCTATTGCTTCAAAGTGATTCAGATCATAACATCATTTGTTCTTGTCTAAATCCTTTTTTGATTTCCTATATCACCAACCCTAACAAAATTAAAAGGCAGGATAAGAGAAAAACCACTTACGAAAACAAAGATAAGGTGGAAAACAAAACTAAGGAAAAAACAAAGAAAACTGTGGCTTGACATATTTGAAAGGTTTACATCATCTTGGTATAGTATATTTGCTGTGTAAATAAGTATGTTAGAGAAGTTGATGCAATTTCTTAATTTGATTCTTGTAATAAACATATATAATTTTATTTTTAAACTGTAGGATGTCAACTAGACAGTGATTAGAGGAAAATGTATGGCCTTAAATGTATATTTAGAAATGAAAAAAAAAAAAAAAGACTAAAAATTGGCTGGGCATGGTGGCTCATGCCTGTAATCCCAGCACTTTGGGAAGCAGAGGCAGGCAGATCACTTGAGGTTAGGAGTTTGAAACCAGCCTGGCCAACAGGGTGAAATCCTGTGTCTACTAAAAATATAAAAATTAGCCAGATGTGGTGGTGCATGCTTGTAATCCCAGCTACTCGGGAGGCTGAACTGGGGAGGAGGTGATTGAAGTGAGCCAAGGTTGCACCACTGCACTGGAGCCTAGGTGACAGAGCCAGACTCTGTCTCAAAAAAGAAACAAAAAAAGTTACGAATTGAAAATCAGGAATCTAAAAGGAACAAATTAGGATCAAATAAAGAAAAAGCAGAGAAGGAGTAAAGAGCAGAAATCTGTGAAACAGAAAAAAACTTGCAATGTGGAAAATAAATCCAAACATTCATTCTTTGAAAAAGATAAAAAAATTGATAGGGCAGGTACAGTGGCTCATGCCTGTAATCCTAGCACTTTGGGAAGCTGAAGTGGGAGGATCACTTGAACCAAGGCTAAGGCTGCAGTGAGCTGTGATTGCTTCACTGTTTTTAAGCTTGGGTGACAGAGTGAGACCTTATTAAAAAAAATTTGATAAATGGTAGTAAGACTAATTAAGAAAAACAAAGACAGAATATGAATTACCAGTATGAGGAATGAAAAAAGCAAGCTATGAAAACAGATGCTACAACTATTAAAATGATGAAAAGATAGTATAAAAAATATATGCTAATAAACTTGAAAATTTGAAGTGAATAAATTCTTTGAGAAACCCCATTTACCAAAACAAACATAAGAAAAAGTACAAAATGTACATACACCTACACCTACTTTTAAAGCTTTCATCCATAATTAGAAACCTCCCCTCAAAGAAAACACTAGAGGAGAAAAAAGGGAAAATTCCTCAACTTTCAGGCCAGCATAACTTTGATATCAAAATGTAACAAGGCTATTACAAAAAGAACTTACAGACTAATGTTTCTAATAAACAATAGAAGTAGGGTGGGTGTGATGGCTCAAGCCTGTTATCCCAGCACTTTGGAAGGCTGAGCCAGGCAGATCACCTGAGGTCAGGAGTTCGAGACCAGTCTGGCGAACATAGTAAAAATCTGTCTCTACTTAATAAAATTTTAAAAATTACCTGGGCATAGGGGCACATGCCTGTAATCCCAGCTACTCAGGAGGCTGAGGCAGGAGAATCACTTGAACCTGGGAGGCGGAGGTTGCAGTGAGCCAAGATGGCGCCACTGCACTCCAGCCTGGGTGACAGAGTGCGATTCCATCTCAAAAAAAAATTTTTTTTTTAATCCAACTCCATTACTGAGGAAACCTCTTCAGAGCTCCCCTTGTCTGGAGGGCCCCTGACCCCAACTCTAGGAGGCCAGAGCTTGGATCTCAGTTGCATGAACTGGAGCTGGTTGCTTAATCTCTTTGTGCCCACTTTTCTTCATATGTAGCATGAGACCTTGTAACCTAACTCACTGGCTCAGAAGCTCAAAACAGGGTGAGAAGAACATTCAAACACATCGCCAGGAGAGTAGAAACCGGATATATTTTCTGGAAAGTAATTTGGATAGATATATTCAGAAATATTCAAATGCTGTGAGCTGGTAATTCCATTACTAGAAATTTATTATTGGCACATAATCAGATATACAGACAAAAATGCAAGTAAAAAGAGGTTTGTGGCACTATTATTTTAATAGCAATATTTTGGTAAACATCTTGAAAGTCCAACAATCAGGGCGTGACCACCAAAAGTGCGACACATCTATTCTGATAAATGCAGCCATTACGAATTGCTATAGCAGAATGTTTGGTAACATTGAAAAATGCCCATGACTTTGTTAAAACAAAACAAAAAAAGATACAGAACTCTTTGTGTGGTATGGCTCCAATTTTGTTTCATGAATTATATATGTCTATGGGCTTAGAAAAAAAAAACTAGTTGGAAATTTACCGAAAATCTTATTGCTATTGGTATAATTCTATATATATTTAAAATTGACATTTGAAAAATTTTCCCAGGATTCCTCCTAAGCATGTGTTGCTTTGTAATAAGAGAAGCAAATATTTTAAAAGTAACCCAAATTAAAACTATTTGTGGAAAACTGCTTTGAAAATCATTGTGCTACACAAATGTGAGATGTTGTAAGTACATTTCTGGGGCTTTAGAAGCACAGGCAGATTCCTGCCGAAATCAATACATTTCACTGCAAGGAAGATAAATGGGTGAGTGGGTGGCCATGCTGAGCACAGCTCCTAAGGCATATGCTCCCCCTGCCTGCTCCACCCCTGCAGCCCAGCAGTGACCAGTCCTGCCAGCTCTAAGCCCTGCTTGTTTTTCTTCTCTCCCTGGATCCACCACCCAGTCCTCCTTCTTCTGGTAGGTATGAACGAGTCTGTCTGGTCTTGTCTGCTGGGTGAATCATGCCTCAGAAATGGGAAGTGGCCTTAAGGCCAGGGCCTGTCTCCATGGAAGAGCTGGGACTAGCCTCATATGTGACGTCAGCTGAGTGCTGAGGGTTTCACTGCAGCTTCCGGGCTAGATGGCAGGCATGGGTGTGGCCATGTTTCTGGGCTTCTGGGCCAGGTCCTGATGGAATGCTAAAGTGATATGACCAGGCACAGGTGAGGAGAAGGCTGCTTCTCCTGTGGTATGATTAGAGGGCATCCTTAGTTCTCTTTGGCGCTGACTCACTCTCCTCCCATCCTGAAATCACAATTATAAGAACTCCTTTGCCAGGGAAGGCAACTGACAGGAGCAGACACGGAGGCTCCTGCTGAAATGCACGTGGATCACACAGGGCAGCAGCATCTCTTAGTATTAGCACCAGGCTCTGGAAACAGTCGAGCTTAGGTTTGGACCCCAACTCCTCTACTGCTTGGGGATGTCCCTTGGTGTCTCTGATGACAAAAAGCACTTACATATGCCAAGCATATGTCAGGTACAATTCTAAGTGACCTTCTTCTATTAACTCACAACAACCTTATTAGGAAGATACTCATAATTGCACCCATATTGCAGAGGAGGAAATTGAGGCACAGGGTGGTGAATTAACTTGCTCAAGGTCTCACAGGATCAGCGCTAGGATGAGTCCACACCCAGTGTGGCTCCCATGCTTTTAATGACCAGGTTTGGAAATCTTATTGGTATCAGATGGGATAATAATAGAAATTATGACTTATTAGGGGCTTACTCACTGTACTAAATGCTATATAGGAATTTTCCCAATGCGAGGATGGGGCAAGGACTATTGTTAGGGGCTAACATCACCCTGGCAGGACAGCTAACTGTATACAAGGCCCTGTGTGAAGGGCTGGGCCTTCAGGAGATTGCTCTGGCATAAAGAGTTAAAATGTGTCCATAATAACTGTGATTCATGGTAGAATCATAGCTTGATGGAGCTGGAAGAAAGCTTAAAGGTCATCTGGTTTAAACTCATTTTTACTGATGACGAGAACCAGAGTGTGTGTGGGAGGGTGGTGGGGAGGTTTACTCCCAGAGAGTTTTGGGAGATTTAGTGAGATGATAACAACAGCCAGCACTTACTGAGTTTGGGTGCTGTGTATGCATGTGTGTTTATCGCGGTCTACCTCCCAACCAGATGAGGGTGGTGCTATTGTTATCCCAGGTTCACAGATAGGCAAACGGAGATGTTGAGTTGAGCAAGTACCTTGCCCAGCAGCACACAGCTAGCAAGTGGTGGAGTGGGAATGCTTGCAGACTGGATTCCAGAGCTCGGTGCTGACCCACTGTGCTTAACGCCATCCCAGTTATAGAAGGAGGTTAAAAGACCTGGGAAGAAGCTGGTCTAGGTGGATAGGAAAGGGCTTTGGAGACTACAAAGTCTTGTACAGACACAAGTAATTATTAGAAGGAGGTAAAGGTCCCAAGAGAGGTATAAAGGGATATAGAACTCACCGCAAAATCAAGGAAGATCTCCAGGATGAGGTGGCATTTGCTTTGGATGTGGACCTGCGCTCCTGGGGTAGGAGTGAGGACTGTTCAGAGTATGTGTGGGATGGTGGTGGGGTTTCCTCCAGCCCTTCCCCATTGGCATGGAATGGCTCAGTAAGTTAGTTAATTGGCACCTTAGCCCAAGTGAAGTGACTAGGGCCACACAAAGCATTGGGCACCTAAAGCTGGGTCCTGACTGTAAAGAATAGGATAGGTGGGGGGAACTGAGGGGGGAATAAGGAGGGCACAGGAACAGAATAGGTGGGGAGAACTGAGGGGGAATAAGGAGGGCACAGGAACAGGATAGGTGGGGGGAACTGAGGGGGAATAAGGAGGGCACAGGAACAGGATAGGTGGGGGGAACTGAGGGGGAATAAGGAGGGCACAGGAACAGGATAGGTGGGGGGAACTGAGGGGGAATAAGGAGGGCACAGGAACAGGATAGGTGGGGGGAACTGAGGGGGAATAAGGAGGGCACAGGAACAGGATAGGTGGGGGGAACTGAGGGGGAATAAGGAGGGCACAGGAACAGGATAGGTGGGGAGAACTGAGGGGGAATAAGGAGGGCACAGGAACAGGATAGGTGGGGGGAACTGAGGGGGAATAAGGAGGGCACAGGAACAGGATAGGTGGGGGGAACTGAGGGGGAATAAGGAGGGCACAGGAACAGGATAGGTGGGGGGAACTGAGGGGGGAATAAGGAGGACACAGGAACAGGAAAGGTGGGGGGAACTGAGGGGGGAATAAGGAGGGCACAGGAACAGGATAGGTGAGGGGAAGTGAGGGGTGAATAAGGAGGGCACAGGAACAGGATAGGTGGGGAGAACTGATGGGGAATAAGGAGGGCACAGGAACAGGATAGGTGGGGGGAACTGAGGGGTGAATAAGGAGGGCACAGGAACAGGATAGGTGGGGGGAACTGAGGGGGGAATAAGGAGGGCACAGGAACAGGATAGGTGGGGGGAACTGAGGGGGAATAAGGAGGGCACAGGAACAGGATAGGTGGGGAGAACTGAGGGGGAATAAGGAGGGCACAGAAGGTTGGTAGCAGGTGGATTGGGGATGGCCAGACAGCCTGAGTTCAAATCCTGGTTCTCCCACACTGTAGTTTTGATGCCAGGGGCGAGCTACTCCACAGCTCTCTGCCTCAGTTTCTTTATCTGAAAAATGGGAATGATACTAATGGTACACACTTCAGAGGCTTGTGTAAATATAACATGTTCATCTGTGTGAAATGTTTACTGGGATGCCTGGCACAGATATTTCTGTCATTCTAATCCCAGGATACCGATTGATACCACTATCCAGAGAAGAATGGGGTTAGAATGAAGCAGACATATGTCTACTTCAGCCTACTTTCCTTGTAAAGCTAAATCTGGGAGAGATGAATGGCTTTGCAAAATAACACAGACTAGCCACCCCCTCTCCTCCATCCTTGGTTTTGTTTTTGCCAGTCATTAGATTTGCTTTTCAGGGAAAGGCAAGGAGAGTGGGAGGCAGAGGAGGCAGAGGCGAGTGGGCTGCCAGTCCTATCAGCTGATAGACTATCAGTGCTTTCTGAGTTACCACTCTTATTTCTAACATTACCCTTGTGCAGCTCTGTCGGAATTTCTGAACTCTTGTTAATTAGCCTCCCCAGCCCCTTGTATGTTGTGGGTTTACTCTCCATTCTTGGGGCAGACACATTATTGCAGAGAAAACGCAGATGGAGAGAAATTCCTTTCTCTCTTTTTTCTTTTTTTTTTTGAGACGGAGTTTCGCTCTTGTTACCCAGGCTGGAGTGCAATGGCGCAATCTCGGCTCACCGCAACCTCCGCCTCCTGGGTTCAGGCAATTCTCCTGCCTCAGCCTCCCGAGTAGGTGGGATTACAGGCACGCACCACCATGCCCAGCTAATTTTTTGTATTTTTAGTAGAGATGGGGTTTCACCATGTTGACCAGGATGGTCTCGATCTCTTGACCTCGTGATTCACCCGCCTCAGCCTCCCAAAGTGTTGGGATTACAGGCATGAGCCACAGTGCCCGGCCTGAGAAAGTCCTTTCTTAAGCAGGTTAATGGCAAAACAGAAGGATGACTGCCAGGGTGGGGAGGAGGGGAGCAAGAGGGAAGAGACACTAGCACTCTTCCATAAGACCAGGCTTGGTGAAGAAGCTGGCATGTTCCCGTTATACCAGCCCTTCAAGGAAAAGATGTAATTCCATTGTACAGATGTAGAAACTGGCCCAGAGCCACAGCCTGTCCGTTGATATGGAAATCCCACCCAGATCTATTCAACACTGACAGTCACCATCTTCCTCTATAGTACATGAGAGGTCTACAGCACTAAAACAAGTGTCTTCACTGGTGGTTGAAAGATAATATTTTTGCATGTGCTTTGCAATGCAAAAATCTGAGAAACTCCATTGACTCAGAGCTGCAGACTGGGTTGACCTGTCTTGGAAAAAGAACGCTCCACGGAGGGTATGGCAAATTCTGCTCATAGGCCGCTATAATGCCTAAAAAGCAAAGTGTGGGGAAAGGTCAGTCCTGCCTTGTTTCCAGGGGCAAGGCCGCAGTTTGTTGTGGTCAGCACATCAATCTCCATCGGGATGGAACTACTTGTAGTTCTGTTTTACTAGTGCACATTTGCTCAGTGGCTTTCTGTCCAGGGAGGGGGAAACAGGTCAGAAGCGCAAGGAACTATTTCTGGGCCCTGGCCTTTGGGTAAGCATCCTTGTCCTTTTACACATCCTCTCTCCAGATTTGCACAACCTAACCACAGAAGCGTCACCCTACAAGCCCAGGTAAACAGAGGCAACTACATGGTTTCCACTCAGCCAATAGCTATTGAGAAACCAAGGGAGCCCAGAAGCCTATACTAAGCAACATTGATAAACACGGAAGACAACAGCAGCCCGAGCCTCCTGACTTTGGGCTGCTGGAGCAAAGATGTATTCCCATCTTGGGGTGGAGGCCACACAATGCAAGTTCTGAGTCCCTCTCCAGCATGACCCTTGGAGCAGTCACCCCTTCTGGCACCCATCCAGTTACACCACCAAATTGAGGTGGAGAGGGCAAGAGGAGGAAGGGAGTCTCTTTTTCAGCAATGAGTCTGGATGAATTAGTTCTCCCTTAGAAAACAAAGCTGGAAGAAAGGGCCTGTGTCTGGGCTTTTACACACCTTCTTCAAAAACTTGGTTGGGAATAGAATGTAGAGTGATGCAGGAACATAATCTACCCTAAGGCTTCGAGGAGAGGGTTTTTCTAAAGGGCCAAGCCCTCCTCCAGGTCAGCTTGTGCCCAGGTAATCAAAGTGTGTTGGCAGGGGAGAGGGAGGGTGGCAGGGAGATGGAGATAGAGATATGGAGGGATGGAGAAATAGAAAGGCAGAGAAGAGACAGATGGTAGATGAGGTGCGTGCTTGCTGTACAGAGCCAGAAAAGGAAGTCATCATGCATCTGAATGTGTCACTGGCAAGTCCCCACAGACCAAAAAGCCTGGGTCTGCCTGTCAAATATTGGATTTTCTTATGCCTCTGAAGCCCTCAAATAAACCAGCCAGCTTCCCCGACTTCTCTATTAGCTATTTCAGAGACACTACCAGGAGAATCTTATCTTCAGCCCTTATTGCCAATGTGTTTTTGTTAATGTTAAGGAGAAAGGTAACTCCAGTGTTTCTGTAGGGATCTGCCATAAATGGGTAAAGCTGAGCTGTAGAAGGAAGGAGAGAATTTGAGAAGTGACCCAAACCTCCACCAAGAGCTGCAAGTGAGGTGAGGCCTTTACCTCCTAGAATTGGAATGGTGGGATTAAAATAAAATAATGTATGTGAACTTGTTGAGCTGAGCCCTGTCCCTTGGAACCAAATAAATGCATTTGTTCCTTCTCTATGGTAAATTTTGTCCTTTGGGGAAGGGAGGAAGAGGGAGGAAGTCACTTTCATATTGAGCTTTTTGAGACTGTCCCAGCAGGTTCATCACCTGCCATCCACTCCTAGCATCCTAATCCAAGGCCTTTCCACCTATCTACTCTCTTGCCTTCCAGAGTTTATTCTCTACACAGCAGCCAGAGTGATCTTTAAAAAAAACACACAAATAACATCTTGTCACTTCCCTCTTTAAAACTCTTCGAATCCCCCCATTACAGAGTAGAATTAAACACTCTGCTATGGGTTGTTAGGCTCTACCTGTTGCATCCTCTGACTTCATCTCCTAACATTCTTCCCGTGGCCCACTCTGCTGCAGCCACCACTGATCTTTCTGTTCCTGAGCTCACCAGACTGTTCCCTCCTCAGGGCTTTTACATTAGCTGTCCCCCTTGCCTAGAATACCCTCTGTTCTTGTCACTTGTCATAGAGGTCTTGTGTGATCATCCAAATTAAATTAGTGCCCCATCACTCTATTTCATTTGCTTCAGAGCAAATGGTAATGATACTTGGTTCAACTGATCTCGGCCATCATTTGTTGACATCTGTTCCATTACTGACTCCCTCGTGCTAAGCAGAGCTCGGCACACAGTCGACCTCTAGTATTCGTTGAATAAATCATCGTTTCAAATCCTAACAACAATCTTTTGAGGTCTGTGAGAAAACGGAGGTTTTGCCGGCTCAGGATGAGATTCCTGCTCTGTGTGAACTCGCTTTCCTTCCCAGGATACCTCGCCCCTTCCGCCCCCAGCGCTGCTCCCCTTCGCTCCCATCTTTCTCTCACCCTTAACCCCTTTCTCCGGGAAGGGCAGGATGGACTTCCAGTCCCTTCTCAGAGCCTGGTGCTGTGGCTCTCACGCCTCCCACATTTCGGGGACTCAGAGATGCCGCCCTTTTCCTGAAATGGACCCTCCGAGTACGCGCAACCCCTTCCCTGACCCCCGATCAGAGGCAGAAAGAGGTCCCCCACCGTCTTTGGTAAAATAGAGTGGTTCCCCCTAGCCCACCGGCTTAGCGTCCTCACTCCGCCCCCGTCCCTGGCTGGAGACCCTCACGGCCTTGTAGGGGCCAGGAGGAGGTTCCACGCGTCAAGGGCACTGAGGACATCCAGGCCCAAACTGGGGATGGGCCAACTGCGCGCAGCAGAACCTTTCTCCACCGGGGCCGTGTGTGCCCGCCGGTCGGCTTAGGCGGAGACACCACAGTTAGCGTCCCTCCCGCTCCCGCCCTCTTCTCCCCGCCCTGTTTGCGAAGGCTCGCTTTCCTCCCCGCCCAAGTTCCGGCGCC